TTCCTAATTACATGAAGGTAGAAAAAGAGTTGAAGTGTTTGGAGCAGTTTCTGGCCCCTGCTGTGCGCTCAGCAAACATGAGCTGTTATTTAAATGTTAGATTATGCATTTATTCCTTTCATGTAATACTTCTAGGGCCTGGCTCTGTTCCTGGAACTTTTCCTGTCAAATTGAATATCGTTATGTGAGTAACTTGTCACTTTTCATAGCGGTGAAGTTGTAGTAGGTGTTCTCCTCATTTCCCGAATTGATCAGGTTGTGTTGGGAAGCCCTGAGCTTGAATCTGTCTCAGCATGTGTCCCTGATCTGTTTGTGATCTAGAGGATGTATCTCAACTTCAGACGTCTTAGGGATATGGAGACGGCTTTGCTGACAGTGATTGGAGAGGAGAAAAATGTGTGCATTGAAGGCACAGACTTGTGTTCTACCTCCCATCTCTTACTTCCTGTCAGACCTTAGGACAAAGTACGGGGCCATTAATGCCACAATTTCCCCTCTTGCAAAAGGGAAATATTAATAGTGTCCATGTAGTGGGCACGTGATCAGGGTCACGTGTAACAGCCTAGGATACACAGTAGGCAGTCACTAAATGGTAACCTAAAGTTACCACCCACTGTATACTGGGACCCGGGGCCTCTTCAAGACCAAAACATGCTCTTAATTACTGTTGGGTGTCTGCAGGCCCAAACAAAAGGTCCATGCTTTTTAGTAAGAACAGCCCCTGATCCTGTCACAGCAAGGGGAACATGGAGAGAACATGGGAGCACACAGTACAGTGACTGACACCTGTCAAGTGCACTTGTGGGGCTGTGACTGAAAGACAAGGCTGACATCACCACGATGACATCATTCCTTGTAGAAATAATTAAAAACCAGGGGTGCTGACTAAATTAATTGTGGAGGGAAAGTAAAATGGTTCCTCTGACTAAATTAATGAAGCCTGATTTCATTGACTTTTGACATAGAAGGACCATGACTTTCTCCAAGTCAGTTTACGTTTCTTGGCACACGTGTGTGTGTGTGTGTGTGTGTGTGTGTGTGTGTGTGTGTGTGTGT